TTGATTTATTATAGATAAAGGCGTCAAATCGGTCCACAAATTACCCAAACTCCCACATACTACATATAACAATTTTCGTTTCGACTTTATGTGTGTGAGTTATCTTCATAAAATTGCATTTAAACATGTTCTTGTTCATACTGTAGTAATGTCAAGTTAATGTAATCAGTCCAGACCTTTACTAATTCTAATATACCCGATGTAGTGATTGCCAGCTGACTTTTAACCGTTTATGTTAGTCAATATGTGTGTATATGTTACGCTTTATGAAATTAGGTGGTCATGTATATGAATTAGCGCTGAATATGAATTAAATTGGTGTAGATCTTGGTCTAAAAGTCATATTCCTAATATAAGAATGACTGAAATGTACGTCCGAACTTAAACTTTTTATTTCGGAAAAAGAAAGGAGATTTAGATTGTAAGAATACCAAAAGAGATATTAATTTGATCCGAAAGAGTATCCTTACACAGCACTGTTTGTATGTTACTACTGGGATAAGAAAATACCTATTAAAACAAGTAAGGAAGTTCTAAGTTCGGGTGTTGCCGAACATTTTATATTCTCGCAACTTGCAAGGCTCAAAGCCCGGGAAATTACTTCAGGCGTTGGCAAAATTTTATATTAAAGGAAGTCTTGATCCGATTCAACCCATTTTTGACACAAAGACATACTATTATCAAGAGTTTTATTTATTTATTTTATTATATGAATTTCAACTATATATCTTACACATTGATTGATTTAAAGTCAACTATAGGCACTGGGGTCCACATATTCAGTACCTAGGGGCTTGAACAGTTTTAGTTCGATTTCAAAACCACAAGGTGGCATACTTTAAACGCATTATTCACGAAAAGTTTTACCACGATGCAATAATTGTTGCTTGATTTGCATAGTGGAGAGTAAAATAATCAGATGATATTTAAAATGGTGTTATATGGGGAATAGGCGTGATTGTAACTCGATTTCGCCCATTTTTGCATTATAACATAGACATTTGAAAAGAATGTTATGTACCGAATTTGGTTGAAATCGGTTGAGCAGATTCCAAGATATGACTTTTCACCTAAAAGAGGGCGGTGGAACGCCCACTGTCTAATTTTGAATTCGGTTCCTATAAAGTCGTCTCATACCATCCCAGAGTGAAAATTTAATGTCTCTGGCGTGTTCAGTGCTTAGTTTATCGCTCTTTTAGTAGTTGTTAACAGTAGCGTTATATGGGGAGTGGTCGGGGTTGTCACCCGATTTAACCCCACACTGTCGATAGAGGTGCTAAAAACTCAGAGAATTTTGTTATCATAGCTTTAGCGGTTTAGGAGATATGCACATTAAATCGATTAGGAGCGGGAACACGCCCACTTTTTAAAAAAATTTTAAACTACAGATGCCTCTCCCTAATGAGATCCTGTTATCTAATGACAGTCTTGTATCTTATTGAGGAGCATAGTTATGGAAATTTATTTGTTTTTGATTAATAAGGTTTTATGAGCGTAGCAGTGGTCCGATTACGCTAATCTGCAATACCAACCGTCTTACGATACCAGGAAACATGTGTACCATGTTTCATAAAGATATCTCAATTTTTACTCAAGTTACAGCTTGCACGAATGGGTGGAGGGATAGACAGTCCCCGGATTTCAACTCGTTTCTCCATCCTGATCATTTATATATATATAACCCAATATCTACTCGATTAGTTTTAGGTGATACAAACAACGAGAGTATTAAAAAAGATTTTGACCCAAAAATACTAGAGGCTTTGTATGTACCGTCGATATATTTATTTTCCTTAAAACTCTATGATAGATGGTCCAGAAATTCAAGCAAAAATTATTACTGTGGAACAGGAAATGAAAACGAAAACATCTTTTATGAGGGCATCTATGTTAAATTTACCTATGTTAAATGTAAAATCCTTATACAAATTTCAACATCCTAGAATCCTCTAGAAATACAGGTTTCAAAATATATAATAATTTATATATATTTCAATTAAGCACCCTAACTTTCAGATAAATGTCTACAATATATAACAGATTCTAATTTCCTAAATACAGGCTTTATACTTGTACAAGCATGTTTCAATATTTCATTCGTCGTTATCGTAAACATCTTCTGCATCAAGACTGAACAGCAGTGAATTGTTCGGTTCCATTAAAAAAGAAAATATCCTTACAAAAATTCTAGTGATTATATTAACATTGTAAATAATACATTTCCTATATTTCCCTTTTGCCTTATGTTGTTCTTGGTATTAAATGAGCTTTCCACCACAAATGTAAAGAAAAGAAGAGCGGTTTGACTTTGAAGCAAAAGCTTCATAATGCCAGGATGGTAAATAAAATTGTGCCTGTAATGCCCGCATGGAAGTTTTTCTGATTGGTAGCTTAAATTAGCTTTGCAAGTATGGTATTTCTATGGTTTTGTTTATTACTAAACACATTTTTGGACCTTCGACACCTTAAATATTAATTTATTGTTTTAGCAAAAAGTTGAAAAGGAACTGTTACTTAAAGCTTTGGAATGTAAGTTGTTTTAGAGAATTGGGATATGGTTGTTTTAAAAGTAATATCTTTAAATGAATGAATCTACATTTTTATCCAAAGATTACATTGAACCGAATTTTGTCAATCGATTACCAAACCAGCAAAAGTGCAAATCATTACATAGCATCATCATAAAATTGACTATACAATACAAGCTTTATAGAGATGATTTTATTTCGATTTAAAAATTTTAAACATCAAATAATCATCAAAAAAGTCTGTTACTGCGGCAAATCGAAAATTACACTGTTTTCGTCCTAATTCTATAAACGTAATTTATGTACCATAATCATTTGATTTGTAGTGGTTTGGGGGGATTGTGGAATGGGTGGACCATACTTCAAATAACTTTCAACGTAATGGATCTTCCGCCCTAGAGTGCACGATTATAGTTCCAGATTGTAAAATATAATATTCCTATAATGTATATAACTATAAAAGTTTGTAAGTTTTACGTTACTTGTAACTATTAATGTTTTTGAATATTCCTTGGTCAGTTAGCATTAATTTTTCATATTTTTGTTCACCAAATGCATGGAATAGCTTAGAGCTTAAATTGTGTCCAATTCTCTCAACGGTGACATAGTTTGGTTATACCGACGGATATCTCCTATTCTCGGTAGTTGTCATATACGTGTACTATTGTTCAGGTAGGTCAGGAATATGTTCATTATAGTTTAAGCGAATTAAATAGATGTGCACAAAATTATACTCTACATATATAATTATAATAATAATGTAATATATAAATTCGATTATATTTATACCCTGAACTTAATATAACCTAAGTTGGCAACGATGTTCGTAACGCCCAGAAGGAAACGTCGGAAACCCTATAAAGTATATATATAAATGATCTGTATGATTTAGGCATGTCCGTCTCTCTGTCTGTATATATGGGAACTAGTCCGTTTTTGAGATATCGATCTGAAATTTTGCACACTTCCTTTTCTGTCCACCGATATCGAACCACTATAGCATATAGCAGCCATACAAACTGAACGATGGGAATCATGTGCTTGTATGGAAAACCCTTTCATTTGACGAGGTATCTTCACGAAATTAGACAATAATGCAATTTCTGAAAAAAACTGTCTGATCGAATGACTATAGCATATAGCTGCCATACAAATGAAACGATCGGAATCAAGCTCTTATAAGGAAGATTTTGTATTTGTAAAGGATATTACAGCTTTAGTAGAAACGACGTTAATTTCTTGTTTCACTTAAAGTAGTTCGCTACTAAATAATTGCTGTTTAAACAAATGTTCATTTTTCAAATAAGCGAAGTTAAATATTTAAATATGTAAGTTTATTGAATCATCTGCGTTTATTTATAGAGACTTTTCGAACTTGACCTTGAACTGACTTTAAAAAAATACCATCACTATGGAATGATGTGAAATATTTTAAGATATTACAATTTTACACTTCCCATATCATTAAATCTTTGCAGCCTTATTTTGTCCATCTAACCATTAATCTTTTGCATGTACTTATAGCATATACATAAATTTTAATGAAGAATTAACTATTTTTGCGACGTCCACCTAACTCTTTTTGTGCAAATTTGCAGATATTTTAACAAAACACAAAACTAATATTTTTCATTCTATACCAAAATAGCAGAGATGGTGTCACTTTGAGACAAATATCTTCAAAACGATTGATGAAATATTTTGTAACGATAATCTAGTTAAGTACTCTAAAACAAGCATAGATATTCTTTTGGTTTTGGCGATCCGAGCTCACGGTAAAGTCAATGTAATTTAAGAAATGGAGAATCTCCGACTTTGCGATGAAAGAAGAAGTATACTTGACAATGTCCCGAGGGGAAAATTGAGATTGATGAAACTTTTTATGTTAGTAAATCTTCGCAAAAAACTACACAACGGTGAATTTATATCAAAGAATGGATATTATCATATTTAGACCCAATTTCCCAGATCAAGACCAACATACGCCTAGAATGATTCGGACAGAAAACAGGAAAAGCATCAAGTTCGGACCATTTGAAAGATATTTCTGATTTTTTGAAGTGAATTTTAAGCATAGTGATGTAGGAAAATAGCAGAGCGCCATATTACGAGAACGATATAAAGAACATGTTAATGTTGTATACTCTTTTAATCTTTTTATCTCTTAGTATATCAGCAGGATTATTTTTTTACAAACATAATTTTAATAACAATTCGTTTTCAAAAAGTCAAGTTAGCTGACATCCGAAATTAGATGTCTATGCATATGCTGCAACAACAAAATATATTTGCAAGATGGCTTTCCCTTTAGCGAAAAGTTATTTGTTTCTGAGATAAGAAGATATGTTAGAATTTTTTGTAGTAATTAATCAAGTAATCAAATTAAAAGAGTATGTTTGAAGGAAGATAGTACTTAAATCATATAAATTAGATCGCGGTTTTGAAACCTAGTGTGTTGGTAATATGTATTAATAAAATGTAAAATATTTATTCGGGAATTATTATAAAATCTCAAATTTGTTTATTGAAACTTGTTAATACTATACTTAAATTAATGATCCTCAAATTTTACGTTTGAACTCGCAAATCGTTGCAAACCCTTGCCAGTTGTTAAAGAGTAAATGCCATGATCCAATCTAAATATTTTGCCACATCCGCATGTATGACATATTGATTGCCGATGCATTTGTTGTGCTGCACGGGTAGAGCGGCCGAAACTGTGCCACGTAATATCCAACGGTTGTTCCTTTGCAACAATAGCCCGGCACCTGAATCGCCGGCACAAGGCCCGACAGCACTTCGAGTTACAGGTGAAGCTGTTTGCAAACCTGCGCAGAAAGTTCGATTAGAACTGAGGCTGCGTATTCTTGGATTTGACGCAAAACATACTTCGTTTGAAACAATTGGTGATTCAGTGACGTGTGGAACTGCGGCTTTTGTGGGCTTATCATCAATCAATGGAGCACCTCCGTGGATGTGCGAAAAGCCCCAACCTACAACAAAGCCACGCTCCCCAACCATATTCTCAAGTTGACTGTCACCGCTCCATAGGCAAGCAGGAAGAATATAAGTGTTGAACCTGTTGAAACATCAAATAGCACAGTTTTTTTCTTGAATATCTCTAATACTTACCGAACTTGAATCTGCAACACCAATACCGCTATGTCCGCATCATATGTTCCCAATGTGGCATCATATTCCGGATGTAGGAAAATCTCACTTACCGGTGCAGCGATGGAGTGTTCCTCATTCCAGTTTCGTAAATTATGTCTACCTAGAAATACTAACACTTCACTGGCCTTGTGATGTTGCCTTTGGAAGTGGAAACAATGCGCTGAACTTACAACCACATGCGCGGACACCAAAGTGCCAGCGCACTGATAAGAAAGCGATGTCAAATTATTCACGTAAATTGCGGCCAGCCACGGCCATGCTCCGCGCGTCAATAATGGCGACGACGAAGCGTTGAAGTCGCCAAATTCAGTGCCACTTACAATGCGAATGGGCATGTTAGATAGTAGAGTAGGAGTTTCGTCACTGGATATTACTAGTGGGGTGCTGGACCTGTCATTGTGACTACTCGCTGTAGCGGCTTGAGTACCTGCTGCATATCTACCGGATTTTTGGTAGGATCGCTGCGCATTTGCGGTGGGGGTTAGAGTCTTAGCATTGTCAGCTTTTGCGGTAAGTGCAGGCAGAAAAGACGTGGATGCTCGAGAATGTAAGTGTAGTTTGGTTTTTCCGCAGATGCTGTTTAGCGTAATGTGTTTCAGCTCACTGAAATACATAAATATTTGTAAGTGATGAGTAAAAATTAGAGATAGATTTATAGACATTTTTTCTATAGGTGCAGAGTATCGATAGGTGAAAAATCTATTAATAAAACTATATCTTATATGCTATATATATATTGCTAAATTGGACTAGTAAATAGTAAATATGATATCATATATGGAATCGGGACGATTGTCGCTTGAGTTATACCAGGCAGGTAGAGAAGCTCGTCTCGTTTCTATGATAGGTGCCCAGTGTTGTCAGACAATTGGATTACTTGGACTTTGTGTCAGGCAACGATTCGTAAGACTTTTGCTAAAACTCATTGTCTCATCTGGCTTGAGCCCCGAAGAAAACGAGCCTATTCAAAACTGCCACAGACGAAAACATTAAAAAATTAACAAAATTTTTTAGATGACCAGAAAATATGATACCATGCAAAGCAAGTGCCGCGCGAACTTACAACCAATTCAAGTTCTGCCTCCCTGCGAGCTTTTCCTAGTCTGAAGTCTTAAGAAAATGGTCGCTGGAACGAAAAAGACAATAGATTGTTTCTACAATTGGCTTATTATAGTCACGTTTGAAAAATCATCAGCACAAGTGGCAAAATTAAGCTTTTTGTTAGGAACTAAGAATGACATATTTTGAAGTAAATCATAGGGTTTCTCTGAGCTTTACCTTCTGAGTTCCACCTTCTCTCGTTTTTGAGAGACCTGTCAATATCTAATTGATACTCTTTGTGTCTGCCAACTAAATTTGTATGAGGATATGATCAAAATAATATGAAATTAGAGCAGTGCGTTTGAAGATTCCTACATGTAAAAAATATCGTATCCTTACTGCAGTTTAAAATTATCTACCAAAATACTTAGTTTTAAAAATTAATAAATTTCTCGGCCGAACTCTTTTAAAAATGCGAGAACTTACATTTCTCCATGTGTGATTGGCAATTGTTCCGCACTAAATTTCGTATCGGTTGACAAGAAGGCAATGTCATCATCGTCGTCCTCTTCATCCTCCATCAGAGTAGCAGAGAATTGTGCGTGTTCCGGCAGTGTGTCTGACGGCTCATCATTGCTGATGAACGTAAATTTTCTTGTGTGCTCCAGCTGAATCTGTGTGACGAATATACTAAGATCTGCAAGCCACAATTTAATTTACATTATTAAACAGTTTTGAGAAGCTATGAATTTAATTAATGCTGCATTAAATACTCTATGTACTTATATGTTGCCATGTGGGGCTATATATGTCTGTGCAAATTCACCTGATTGACCTACACAAATGGCATGGTTGTTTGCAGTTACGTGCAGCAACTTCGGTGGAAAATGTGTTTTGGGAAATTTGATTTTATATAGGACTGGGGCATTGCTGTGGAATTGGCCGCGCGAAAGCAATTCAATTTCGCCTAGGTAACTCTGCCAATATAGTGTAAAATGTTATTATAAAATATATGCGTCTTAATATGAAATATATGGCGTGGGTGCTCACCGTCGTTGGTTTTCCACGCATGGAGAGTGTCACTTTAATTTGCAGAGCTTCCGCGAAGTCGGTATTACGCGCAGAGAGAATGCCAAACCACTCCGTACCATCGAAGCGATATTGGAAGATTTTCGGACACGGGCTGATGGGTATGCTTTGAGTAAAAAATCGATTTATTTGTTGCAGAATAATGATGAGGATGGGGGTGAAGTGGAAACGCATTCCGTATTAATTTATTTACATTGCTTTTTTATTTGTATTTGCGTTTTTAAGCAGCGCCAAAACGCTTGGCATTATTTTGAACAGTTAATATATTAAACAGTTTTTTTTACACAGACATGTACTTTTGAAATAATTTACTTTTATTCCTGGACAATAATTTTTAAGTATTAAAATAATTAAACATTTGATATTATTATTTTAATGACTTTTTCTACATTGACATTTAAAGTGGATCTCAACCCCTCGCACTAACTTTTAAATGACATTTATAAAATATTTAGCTCCGAAGAACGAAGAGTTCGAAGCATTTGTTTTTACTTTTTCCCTGTTTTTTTTGTTTCTCTCTGTTCTTCTCGACTGCTTTTGTTGGAGTACAGCAACGATTTTGATATACATACATATATTTAGAGCGTTGATCATTTATTAATACTCTGTGGTTTCAATGAGTAAAGAGAATAGCAAATATGGGATTGCTGCTGAAATTTAATTGAAACGGTAGTGGGCAATGAGAACTGACAATGGCAATAACAACGTCCTCGGTTTTATTTTTCTATTATCTTCACTTTCGTGAAGTATAAGTTACTTTTTGCAATCACTCATATCCCCAAGAAGGATAGAACAGAATAGGTAAAATATTTTTTATTAGTATAAGGCAATAATGTTTTTCAAATAAAATCACATAAGTCAAAAAACAATAATTTTGAAAATCACGAAAGAAAAAGAAAGATTTATTTAAACATTCCGCATCATTATTGTGTTATCACAGCAATGGTATGTGATACTTTTCACATGTCTCTAAAAAGTCTCCTCTAGGGAACTGTCGCCCACGTTGGGATCGCTTTCTCATTACTTCAGAGTAGTGTTCCATATTACTCGTTTTAAGACTTACATGGCATTAGCTGCGTTCAAGTCCCGTGTTCTATGTAGTTCTTCATGTTCTTCCAGTTTTTCTTCGTTTTGAAGCATGACTGTTATAATGTTGCCTGCGTTCAGAAGGCCGACCAAAGTGTGCAGCCTCTTTCGCTCTGTTTTCCAGCATACCCACTTGAAAAACTTTGTTCAGCGTCGTTGTATATACGAGTACATGACGGCTCTCTGAATTTTTTCATTTTATATAGATACTTCCGAAAATAGTGGTGCCCGGATAGCATCTGTGAAGTATATATAACCACCTGATTTCCGCTGGTCAACTCTTTTATATTTTTGATAAGCCTAGACGTTCATCTATCTACTAAGACGTCCTTTGCCCCAGCGAGTTTGCCATCATTCCAAGGTATCATTGCTTACTTCCTCTTTTGCGATTGTGACATTTTTGCCTTGTTCATTCAACGTCTACATTTTTTTCTTTCAAATGCTGATAAGTCGAGGCGCGTGCTTCCGCTTATTTTCGATACAACTCCGCCTAAAACTGTGTGGTATGCCGATACTACCCTTAAAGGGTGCGATTCACTTTTCTTAGGGCTTTACGTCGGTTATTTTTCATCAATGAGTCCGCAACTAATTCTAATCCGTAGAACAAGACATTCATTGTGGTCGACATTAGAAGCTTCCGTTTCTCCTGTGTCGGTCTTCCGATGTTGGCCATCAGCCTGCTGAGTTGGGAAGTTATTTTAAACGCCTTTTCCGCAGTGTATTGGCACCAGTAGGTCAGCCTTGAGTCTAGTCTTACATCCAGGTAATTGACAACATTTTCTGTTCTTAGGGTCTCTGGTGGCGTTCTCATGTCTACTATAATCAAAATATACATCTTTGTTAATAATACCATCTCAATTTTTCAGTGGTATGAATATTACATTTTATTATGTTTTCACTACAAGTATATTTTGTTGGCAGAGTTCGTGATTTATGAGATAGTTACATTACTGAAGTTAAGGGCCACCAATAATTTTCAAACTGAATAAAAACATATTTTCCGGTTTTCACTATGACTATGTTAAATTTGTAGCTTGATTTCGATTCAGTTATAGCACTTTATGGTTTTTACGAGTAACGCCGATTTATGGGCGTATTAATGCTTCTATTTCATCACACTTTTTGTATGTATAACTTTAAGTCGATTATTCGTTAACGCTAACTCAAACACTGTAATTTTTAACACCTGTTATATTATTAAGGCCTCAAGAATATTAAAAATTTCGCTGATAAGATAGGCCTCAACTAAGTATAGTTCTCATCAAATTTGCCTAAATTATGCTGAAGGACAGCAAGGTAGAGAATAAATATTTTCAAATGAAAAGGAAGATGGGGAAATAAAACCGTCTATGCATGGATTGTCAACTTTTATATTTATGATTTAAATTCCAAGTGTTAATCTCGATAATTCATTCTTCAAACAATTAAAAGAATAGCTGGAAAGATATATAGCCATTGCACATACATAAGTGCATGCAAATTATAAAAAAATTTCACGTTTATTTTCTAGTTTTGGTATGTCTTAGTTTCATAAACCTATCTTGTTTAATACCTCAAATAAGTACTTTAAAATCAAGTGACTCCTCATACATCGGTACATGAGACCAAAAGAAAGTATGAACCGATTTTATGCAGTTGTAATCCTATTCACATTATGCTAAGTGAAAAAAAAACAAGAAAAAACCGACGGCTGCGTCGAAGCTATAATACCCTTCACAGGTGCATTTCGTTTAGTAACTACTATATGTATGACTACATTTGAAAACGTAACCGGTCAACGGTATGCATCCAACTGAAAACATTTTCTTTTTAACCAGGTTGTTTAATATAAAGAATCTTCTATTCGAATTAATACTAGAAAATCAGATAAATTGACCTTTCAGACATTTACATAATTTTATTTTTTTAAGCTGATGGATTTTTATGGAAAACAAAAACAAATTATTATATTTATAGAAAATAGAAAATATATAACATATACTAATATTTATTATTCTATAATACTTTTTTATATAATATGTAAGTTACAATAATGACATCTATGACTTACACTTTATATTATAATACAAACTTATATTTAATAATATTGAATATAACATATATCTATATAATATATATAATATAACTATTTTCTAAAGCTTAAAAATATTCCGTCATGATCACTATATGGTGTTTCATATGTGATACATGAGGTCATTGCAGGATCCATGTTTGTCCATACCCAATCTATTGCTGTTTCCTGTTTTGTTGTGGCGACCTTAACCAATGAAGATTGAAATCCTAACTATTGTAATCCAGCCTCCAAATCGTCAGTTGCTGTTAGGCGAGATATGTTAAAGTCCGTCATAATATCTGACGGATATTATTTTCTACTTGGTTTCTAAATTCCGGAAGTCTATAGCGTGGGTTTCTGTACACAAGTGATATGGAAACTGTTGAATTGTTTACGTTTAACAGTTGGTAAACGTTTGTTGAACCGGTATCGTTCCTTGAAAATTATCCTTCTGATAGACCTGGGCACCTATCTTGCTTGTAGTATATTGTAAGGCCGTTGGCAGGGCGTAGTCGGTTTGAACTTGTTTTTCCATCAAGGCGAGCAATAACATTGTAGCCTTCTATTGGGAATTTTTCTTGAGGTAAGGCCCAGGTCTCAGCAAAGCACAGAATATCAGTAGAACAAATCAGCTTGTCTGATCTGATATCTTCAATATGCTTTTTTAGGCTCCTTACATTTTTTCTGCCAAAAATCTGTAGCATGTCGTCAATGCTCCTTCTGTCTTCAACCTATTAAGTTGAGTTTTAATTGGATCCTGCGGTCCAAACGGGTTCGGGGGAGAAAATGTCCCGATTATATATAATCCATTGGCACTTGTGGCTCTGCTACATCCTACATATAATGCTGATCTGTTTACTCTACCCTCTAGATGAACAGCAACTTGTGTATATGTTCCACCTTGACTTTTATGTATCGTGATGGCTTCAGCTGGAATGACGGGGAACTGTCTACGTTCTATGGTTATTTGCTCATTTCGCTTGTATTGGAATGATCGGACCACCCTCATGATTGGTGTCCAATCTGCAGTGCGACTGTGAGTCTACTTGGAACGTGCAAAGCTTTCAACTCTTGATTTAGCGAATTTTATCCATAGTCCACTGAACTTTCAGATCCATATGATTCGAAATCAACCTGCATTAGTTCCCCCATAGCACCATTGACGAGACCATCACTTATGCTTATGTTGACTGTCACCATATATTTGATCGAAGTCTTGAGCTACAATGTATAAAGCATTCCTTGCGTTTCCGATGGCTTTAAAGATTTCATAGCTTCGAAAATGTTTGCCCTGCTACGTTCTGTTAGGGAACTTGACTTAATTGTATCCTTCGCAGTCGAAATGAACTCCTCGGTCATCGTGTTCGCCAATTTAGTTACATTAAAATCATTTGCTCCAGCATTTGAATAAAATAGATGGATGGCTTCATTTGGTATCTCATTACAGGTGTTTTCCCTGCTTTTGATTAATTGGATGTCAGCGTGTGTCATATTTGTTATTTAAAGCGATGGCAAATGCTTGATCTTCACGCTGGCGCATTATTTCAGTGAGCTCAAAGTACCGAAATTGATCCCAAAGCGGTGTTCCTGTAATTGTACTGTAATGATCATTTATATTCGGTGCAAATATCCATCGATCTCCTACTGGCGGCAGCTGTTTAAATCACCAAACACGATAATTGGTATGCTTCCAAAGTAAGTGCTGCTCCTGAAAATTTGCTTTAGCTTAGAATCTAAATATGCAAACATCTTTGCTCCAACCATTGAAATTTCGTCAATTATAATAAGCCTAATATCTATGAGATTGGCATGAATACTGTTTAATGTGTCACTATTCAGTGGACGAAGATCGTCAGAAGACTGGTTGACGGGAAGTGAAAAAACAGAATGAAGTGTTGATACTCCTCTATTGGATTCATTTATATAATTATAATAATATAATGATATAGCTGCAGCAAGCGTATGCATCCACAATGAATTCAATATCCATATTTGCTCTATGCAATTTAAGGATATTTTCATTATAGGCATTTAGAAGACCGAAAATTTTCTCTTTAGGAAAATGTGTTGCTTTTTTAAAGATGAGCGGAGAGCAAGCTTGTATCTTTCATAATCAGTGTTGATCCGCTCATCCGCCAAAAAATTTTCGAAGCAGTTCAACCGTGTTATTTCTTCCTCTGGAAGATCCGTTAGAGTTAATAGTTCCTGTATTTTTTGGAATTGAACGTTGTGTTGCTTAATACCTTCCTCATTCTCCAAGGGGAAAAGTATTTCTGTCTGTGGCATCGGCGGATATGGCATGTTAAATCGCCACACTTGCTTTCCATGTAGGTCTCTAAGGCAAGCTCGACCATGTCTGTGTTTTTGATACTGAATGAATTCCAGTAAGTCCAAATCATATCCATCGGTTGTGATGTGTCGGTCGACATTCAATCACTCTCCAATTGTAGTGCGTCACTTAGCCAGTACATGCCATGACAATGTGGTGATCCCCTATGCTGGAAATCAATTCTGTAATAGTAACGGACTACTAAATGCTCTCCAAACTGTCCGTTTTGTAATAATTTAAACATTTGGCGGAATCGATTGACGAAATACCTGAAACATGTAATGGGATCTGTCCTTATCAGCCTTACCTTTTCAGAGCTTGATAGAGCA